TTGGGCGAATCATTCTGCCGACAAGGAAGCTCTGAGATGACCTGACAACCGGCGGCGGCGGCTGCTGGCTCCTTCGCTGAGAGCCTTCATGGTCCGCAGCGCGGCGCCAGCTCCTGCCCCGCCCCGTTTCGCCGGGTGTTGGTGCCACGTTTGCGCTGTCTTGGTGGATTGCTTTCAAGAGCCACGCGCCACTTGGGTTGGTCTGTGTCGCTTTTGGTCGCTTTGGTTGGCTTTTCTTTGAGGTTCCCACCCCACTGCCCTTGCTGTGAGTACTGCGCCCGACACCCGCTGCGACTGGCCAGACAAGCAGTGAAACCTCAACACGAAAAAAAAACTAGGTCTCATCTCTGAAAGTGCGTGCAGATTTTATTCCCATGAGCATGGGCATGAGTATCATGGTCACAGATGAAGGCCGGCGCAATAATGCGTCCACTGGCTCTGCGACTACGCTCAAACAATGCGAGTGCCTTAACTACGTTGCCTCCCTCGGCCTCCTGTTGCAGCTTTTTCCATTCGGAGGTTGGTCTGACTTAGAGCACAAGCGAACTCTTCATCTAGATCCGTCAATATGTTTAAGCCATCTGACAGCAGCAATCTCGTTTAAATATTGAGAGTAGCCCTCCTCGTTCCTGCCTGGGCTGAAAGAGTGAAAGGGAAAGAAAGAGCTCCAGACCTTTTTACGCCACTTATGGCATTTGAGTCTTGGATAACGATCTGAAGGTGCTGATGTATCCAGCACAGGGCTTCTTCCTTCACCTCTTCTTTCTCCTGCGACTAGCTACTTATTCGAAAGTACTTGCTTATTTTAAGATTTCGAGAGACGAAGAGGCCACTTCCTCGATGATATACTGTGGAGCAAGTAAGCCGGTGCAGGCTTACTCTCCTGCCGCGGCGCTACGCGGAGGGAGACCCCAAAAACATCAGTTAGCCTCCCCGAAGCTATGTCATGCGGCTGCCATGTCAAATGTCATGTTTCTCGCATGTGGTTTCTTTTTCTTGTCATTCATATGCTTATGCTAAAAGTTCGCCAGAATATATAAGCTTTTGAAGCTTGTACCAACGGACGAGAAGCGCCGAAAAAAGTGGGCTGGCACAGGCATAATTCTAAAAAGTGTCTCGGAAGTCAAAAACGCAATACGTATAGATACACGCCCGGAAAGCGGGCCCATCAAGGGCCCGCTGCGCTGGGCATAGGTTAACAACTAGACAGACTGATCGCTAAGAATAGACACAGAAAGACAAACGAAAAAAGTCGCCAAGTTTAGTCTGCGCGCTCGCAGCTAAGGCTAGAAAGGCCGGTAAGCTGGCCCCCACTGTGACGAGGCTAGTAAGAAGGCCACTCCCATGGCTATGCTACTGCCTTGGCCAACTTGCTTACTAAGGAGCCAATGGGTGCCAGGGCTGGCCTGTTGACCATCATGAAGCCCATGAGAAGGCCACGCTTGGACATGTGCAAGCGCAGCAGCTGGGCCCTTTTGAGTGTGATCACGTCCAGGAGCGAGGGTCGTTCTAAGGTAAAGCATACCCATGGCAGAACAAAGGCTGACACTGGGGAGCATCATAAGGCCCACGAGAAGGCCACGCCTGGGCATATCTATGCGCAGAAGTCGGGCGGCGGCGTTCAATATATTCCAAAGACGGAGACGCACCAGCCTGGCCCCCTCATAGACATGACGACGCCCACCAAGGTCCAGCTTTCAGGCACGCAAGACACCGAGCCGACACCTTCAACGCCTTCCGCCTTCTTTTGCGGAGATGCATGGGCTTGGCCTTCTCATGAGCGTGATGATACTCGCCAGGATCCACCATTGAGAAACGCAAAGGCCCACGCCTATCATTCTCACATCAGACATCGACATCCTCAGCGCCTTCAACTTTCAAGCGCAGAGGCTGATAAGCTTGCTCCCCTCGTGGACATGATGACGCCCACCAGAGTCCACCCGCCAGACGCGCAAGGGCTCAGCGCCATCACCCTCGCAAGCATCGACATCCCCAACGCCTTCAACTTTCAAGCGCGGAGACGTATAGCTTTGGCCCTCTTAGGGACATGACGACGCCCACCAGGGTCCACCCTTCACGCGTGGGCCCTTCGAGTGTGATCATGTCCATGAGAATTCTAAGGAGAAGACCCCAGAGACGTCGACGCCTCTGGGGAGAATGGGCCTGGGCCCCTCCATATCTGAAAGGCGGAGCCTCTTAAGCGTCAGAATGTCCATGAGGAGGCCAAGCCTGGACACCCCTGCGCGCTCCTGTGGTCGATTGGTGTGCGCGGAAGGTAGTCGCAGAAGGACAAGAAGCTAACTTTTCCCAAAAACTTCAGGGGGGTCGTTCGGCTTTTTCTGTATTTGAACGACGTTCAATCCTGAAGCTTTTGAAAAAAGAAAGCGCTTGGCGATAGGGGTAGCGGTTCGGCGATTCGCTAGGGGTGGGCGCGTAGTGTGTTGGGGGGGATCACGGTGGGAGCTGGTAATTTGGAGGACAAAGTAGACCACTGACAAAAAACTCCCAGAAATCTCTGGACTATCAGGCAGAACACGCCTGAGGGCTTTGCTTCCTTTTAAGTCGTTGCAACTCCCTTGACTATTATTCACCAAAGGCTATAGCAGCTCTTCCTTTAGGCGCTTGCTTCCTTAAAGAAGATTTTTCCTCATAAAGTAAGTTATAGCAATTTTTTGCAATAGAAATTCTTTACGGAGAGGCGCACTGAAAGGAGTCCCTTAAGGATTTCAGAAAAAATCGCTAGCCCTATGTTATATATAAGAAAGCTTATACCCTCTCCAGAATTGGATCGGTGGGCACGCTTGGCACGCTGGGCCGCTGGGCGGCCCAAAAGTGAGTCATCTGCCAAAGATGTCGCCCACCGCGCGCCCAGCGTGAGACTTGGGGCCAAAAATCAGGGCGCCCTTCAGGCGCCCATTTCTGAAGCCTCCCGGCAAGGTCAGCGCATGCGCCCCGGATCCGCCGCAAGCTGCATACGAATCGGGGCGCCAACCTACTGGCCCGCCTGGGGATATCCCTCAGCAGCACTGGCCGCAGATTGCAGCAGAGCACTGAAGCACACTGCAGCGCTGCGCCGCACTCTACACACCCAGGCGGCACTGCCTACAGCAGCGAAGCACCGCAAGCAGCGAGAGCGTGGCCACCCCACGAAGGAGCACAGCGCCGCGCTGCCCTCGACTGCGGCCCTGTACATTGGCGGAAGCAGCGGGCCAACGCTATACGCGCCCAGCGTGCGCCCACCGTGCCCCCCATGTGTGCCAGGGGTCCGCCCACCGTGCCAAGCGTGGCCGCCCAGCCTCGCCCACCGTGCTCACCTTCCCACCGTCTATGCGTAAGCCATTCTACTATAAATACTAATATCGCCTGTAACGTTCTCACCTTGGAACCCAGGCTCTGGCGCAAAGGAGTCCCAGGCTCTGGCGCAAAGGAATCCCACATAACTGAGGCCCGACGCGGTGGCAGGTTTGGCCCTTTCGTCCACCGACCCGTCCCCGCCGTAAAGCTTTCGCATCAGTTCCCAACTAGCGGCATCAGCTAAGGTCTTCAAATGGTGCATCTTTAGAACGATACGAAAAGACTAAGAGTTAGCCCACAGCCATAGCTAAGAGAGGTAGGAGCGTTCGCGAGCGCTCTCAGCGGACAAGTTACAAAATACCTCAAAGAGCGGGCCGCCTTTGTTCGACAAAATTCCTACAACGTTCGAAATATTTTCGAACAGGTTGGCGAGTGCTTTCGAATAATCAAACGACTCCCAAGAATTTTTGAAAAAAGTCACCACATTCGTATAAGGAGCGAGCCTGCTAAAATATAGAGAAAAGACTGAAGGGAGAGACCTTCTATTCTGTTCTCACGACTTGTGCCGTCAGACCCGCACGCAGGGGGGCAACACGTGGCCGAGGCTTCCTTTCACGGGTGAGCGACCTATCTCCATTTTTCTTGCGACTGATCTCTGCAAGCTGTCTTTTCTTGAGAGGCACAAGCCCGGGCATGGGCGTTGCTCTATGGTATTCGAATGCCCCCACTTTGTCAAAATCTTAACTGACTCAAACTCCGCAGCCACCTCTGGCTTCCACTTACTCACACTCACTGAGCAGCCCCCCCATGGCGAACATTTGGCGACAGAGGTAACAGAAGCGCCACTCTTCAATATTGGAGGGAGCTGCAAGTGTGTAAGTGCTACTACTAGCTTCAACCGTTCAGATTTTCTATCATAGAGGCGAGGAGCGATCTCACCCCTCAAAAGAAAAGCCATCGCGCTCGGCGCATGCCGTGCGTGTTGTGATCAGAATAAAGCTAAAGAAAATTTTCATGCTGTTAAGGCAGAAGGCGCGCGCCTTGCTTTTCTTTACGGCGACCCCTCTGGCGCTCACTATACAGCCCGAAAAGAGCGAGCCCACCTCTAATAGCTGACGAGTAGATCGAGCTATTTACCTTTGCCCCCTGCGCGCGCATGCGTGTCATTCAAGCACTCGCCACGCCCTCATCCAGGGGCCCCACAGTCGGAGGCTCTACTACAGGCGCGGCGCATCGCCCTGGCTGAGGTAGAATGTATCTACGACGCGCGGCCCGCCTTCGCGGACTCTCGACGAGCGAACACCCGCGCGCACCTTGTAGGCCAACGCACTGCGCGCCCGAAGCTCTTGATATGGCGTTCCTTGCTCGCGCGGCGAAGCCGCCGGGGGTGGCTCTGTCGTAGGTTCTATGAATTTCTATGCGATCGGGGTTGCGCTGCCTGTCGGTGCCGCGTCGCTGGCGGCTGGCGTTCTCAATCTGAAGCGACAGCTCAGGGCTACTGGATGCACCTGGCTCGTCTCAACCATTCAAGGAACCAGGGATATTAGCCGTGAGGGCCTACTAATATGCGTAAAGTTAACCGAGGATGCGGCTTAAAAGAGAGGCCATAAGGCGTCGCGATTTCCGAGTAATAGACGGACCCTTTGCTGCGAGCTCATTGCACCAGAGCCCTCCTGCCCTGGCTCATTCCGAGTGAGCTCGTTAACCGCAAGATCAGATGATTAGCAGAGAAGCAGTTCTGTCGTAAGTATTAATGCCCGTGCGTCTTGCCCCACCGTATTGCCTTGCCTGGTCCACCAACACAGAAAACTAATACTGATTTTACTACAGTAATACCTATACCAATTTGTCTTCCTTGTTCAGAAAGAGCCACGTCGTCAATCTCAATTCTAAAATATCGCCAGCCTCAATTCGGTCCCATAATTGTAATCTTCCATCGCTCGCCGAAAAGACTGCTGTACGCGAATACAACCAGGCCCATTGTCACACAGATCTCCCAAGTTTACCAAGTCGGTATCTGGGGGGATAAAGTAGAGGATAAAATGCTCAATATCCAACAAGGGGGCATAACTATGTATACACGTACCAGGGAGGGAGGCCCCCCCCCTGTGGATGGATCTGTGGGCAGCACAGTGGTGGAAGAGCGAGGAGAGCAGAACGAGGAACGAGAGAAGAACAAGACCGAGAGCAGAACGAGCGACGAGAGCAGAACAAGCGACGAGAAGCGCCCAGCCGTGACGTGGTCGCCTCTGGCATACCCATCCACAGGGGGAAGATAACGGCAAAAAGAGCCGAAAGAAGGGGGACACTCGCCTGCCCCGATCTGTATAGAACACACGCCAAATCGGTCGCCCAAGCCAGACGCCGCCCCCTTCTCTTCGTTTCCGGGTGGCGTTTCTTGTCGGTTTCTTTTCACTGTGCTCCCTGGCCTTCTTCCTCCTTCTTTGACGGGCAACGAGCGACGAGAGAAGAACGAGGGACAAGAGAAGAAGGCACGGGCGACGAGATGCGCCCACCAGCTTCACCCACAGGGGGAAGGTGGCGATCTGTATAGCACCCCCGTTAAATCGGTCGCCCAAGTCAGACACCGCCCCCTTCTCTTCGATGCCGGGTGTCGTTTCTTGTCGGTTTCTTTTCATTATGCACCCCGGCCTTCTTGTTTCTTCTGTGACGGGCAACGAGCGACGAGAGAAGAACGAGGGACGAGAGAAGAAAGCACGGGCGACGAGATGCGCCCAGCATGTCGAAAGCGACAGCCGGCATCCCTTTGCTGCTTGATGGCTGTTCTTGTCGGTTTCTTTATTCTCTTCGTTGCCAGGCGGCCTTTCTTGTCGGTTTCTTTTCATTATACACCTCGGTCTCCTTGCTTGTTCCTTCTGTGGTAGGCAGCGAACGACGAGAGAAGGACGAGAGACGAGAGGAGTGCCATCTGTGTAGGCTTTCTGTGAAGTTCGCACTTTTAACCCCTGAAGGCTTCAGACTTCACGGAGGAGAGCCGCCAAGTGGCGTTGTGTCTTGGTAGTGTCTTCCATTTTCGAAGAGTTGACGAGGGTTAGAGTCGTGACGCCTTTCGTTCGGATGGCTTCGCAACGAGTTAGGAAAGACCTGCCGACCCGCTGCGGGCTTGTGAGATGCAACGAGTGACGAGGGAGAGAGGGGCACGCACAACGAGGGCGGAGAGCTTGCGACGAGTCTGCTCTCACAACGAGCGACGCGGGCGGGTGCTCATTTACATGGACGAGTGACGAGCGGCACCAAGCACGTCGATGCCTTCGATCTTGTATTGTTCGCATTTTTTCGATCTTGTTTCCATTTTTTCGGTGGTTGGTTCCCTGGCTGGTTCCCTTGTTTGGTTCCTTGGTTGGCTCCTTGGTTGGTCCTTTGGCTGGTTCCCTTGGTTGGTTTTCTTGGTTGTGGTTCGTTGGTTCTGGTTCCTTCTCCTTGGTTGGTTCCCTGGCTGGTTCCCTTGGTTGGTTCCCTTCGTTGGTTCCCTTGGGTGGTTCCCTTGGTTGGTTCCTCTGGCTGGTTCCCTTGGTTGGTTCGTTGGTTCCTTGTGGTTCGTTCGTTGTGGTTCGTTGCTTGCTTCGTTGGTTGCTTCCCCGTTTGGTTGGTCTGTAGGGTACATGCAAGAAGCGGGAAGGGGTCAGAGGTGGGGTCTGTATGGGTACAGGCAACAAGGCAGCGAGGCCCTGCCTTTGCCCCCTTTGCCTTTTCCAGGTCTGTAGGGTACATGCAAGAAGCGGGAAGGGGTCAGAAGTGGGCGCTTTGAGGCCTTCCCGCCCGGCAGCCCCTCGAAAAGAGGGGCCGGGGCGGGGAGGCCCCCCCCCTCGAGAACTTAGATCGGGGGGGGGGCCTCCCGCTCTGAGCCCTGGAACATACATAGGTCATAAGGCTAGGGAGCCAAAAATATGCGACAAGGATAGCAAAAAGGCCAACGGCGTAAGCTTTCTACTGTAGACAACGCGAAAAAATGAAAGTAGCACGCACCATCTTTACACACCAAGGGCAGACCGATGAATAGAAACTCAACAAGCAAGGAAACAGTACAGCGCGAGAAGAATGAGGAAAGGGCATCGAGACCCAAGCCTGAAACAAGAAATCTGTCACACCCATAGACTATGGAAACTGAGGTCTTCGCCATTCCCTTTCTGGCCTTAAGGTGACCTAGAATATGGAAATTGAGGTCTTCGCCATTCCCTTTCTGGCCTTTCCCTCGTCGCTGTTAGTTTTTTCTCCAGTTTTTCAATTACACGACAGGAATGATCCCAATGAGCAAGAAAGAGGCAATACATAGCACTTCTTCCCAAAGAGTGCAGGCGATTGACTTTCACGAAAAACGCTGAAGCTTAACGAAAGCAAAGACCAAGTACCACCATCCAAGCCCAAAACTGGAAACGCCGCGAGTACTGGTCCCGAGGAGGCGGTATTTCTCACTGCCATTGGTATCTCATAGAGACAACAACGTCGCAAATTATGTTCGGCCGCCTGTTAGAAGAAGCAAGACAAGACAAGACCAACCCATCGTACAAAGAGATGAAGATGTCACGAGAAGAGACAAGACAAGAGCAAGAGATTGGGCCAACCTGTAGCGATTGGCGTGAGAAGATGAGTTAGCTAGGTGAAGGTGGGGGTTGTGCTGATAGATGAGTTAGGAGACGATCTAGGCGAAAGTGAGAAGATGAGCTAGGAGATGAGCTAGATGAGGGTGGGAAGATGAGTTAGGAGGAGATGAGTTAGGTGAAGGCGAGGGTGCGTGAGGTTCGGCGAAGGTGGTGGTGGAGGTGAGTTCGGTTAGGTGAAGGGGGAGGCGAATTGGGTTGATGAGTTGGGTTAGGTGAAGGGGAAGATGAGCTGGGCTAGGTGGCGGGGAAGGTCATGAGTTGGGTTAGGTGAAGGGGAAGCCGAGCCGGGTTAGGTGACGGGGAAGGCCATGAGCTGGGTTAGGTGAAGGGGAAGATGAGCTGGGCTAGGTGACGGGGAAGGTCATGAGCAGGGTTAGGTGAAGGGGAAGCCGAGCCGGGAAGGTGAATGGGAAGTTGGGTTAGGTTGTACTACTTGCAGGTCGAGGGGGATAATCTTTTGAAGGAGTGGGGCGCAACAGGCTCAGGAAAAAGAACGAAGCCCAAACAGGAAGGAGAGCGCGTTCAGCCCTTCGCTTCTATTCTATCAGTATAAATAGGGCTATTGCTTACAACTCGGACGGAGGACGAGGACGACACAATTACAATTAGCTTGGGGCCTCGTCGCTCTACCAACTTATCTGATTAAGAAGCTTCTGGGGATTCTAGCGTAATCTTAAAGACGTGGAAGTGGATCATCCACCTCTTTCTGGTCTATGGGGATCCTTTTGCTTTAGCCTTCACTTAGCTGAAGCAGGAACAGGAGTGCCCTCTTCTGTCTTATTCATAAGTTGATGGAACACCTTTGCAGACGTCGTTTTGGAGATAAATTCCCGGCGTGATTGCGATTCAAGTTAGTGCTGACGACGATAGTCCACCTTGGGCCTCGGCCTGCATCTTTTTCAATAAATAAGATCCAGCAGAAGGCACCAGGATCACACTGAAAGGAGAAATAGTACTCTATCAAGGACCAAAAATGCCCTGACAGACGAAAATGAGTCATCTACTCGTGGTCCTCGAGGTCGAGAAACAAATCGTGAGTGCAGACTACCGCGAATCCGCTAACCCCCTGCGCCTTCCTTGGTTGTGAATGATTTTACTGCCTAAAGACAAAAGACTTCCCTACAACGTAGACCAAGCCCAAGTCAACAAGCCTTAACCAGAGACAAAAATAATGATAGCTCCCCTCGATGTCGGAGACCACAGCAGTGCGCCTTTCGGACGGGAGGTATGGAAAGCGTTCCCCTTTCTCCGATGATGGACAATGACAAAAAGCGTAGCGTATAACTTTAACTTCTTCAGAAAAATAAAGGGATTGATAAAAACAAAGCGAAGCGTCAAGCTCCTTACTAAACTTGTGGTGGGGTGTACACTTCGCTTCGCAATGAATAAAATTATGACATTAATAGATACATAGACTTTCTATACCTATCCCCCTAAATAAAATAAACATAAATCGGGAATGAGTTAGGGTTCCGCAAACGAGACAGAGACACGCACCACAGCTTAGCTCTCGCTACGCCACTTTGTCAATGCTGGCATATTCAGAAGAAAAAGCTACTACATCCGTAACAGGGGCGTGAATGTATCCGCTTCCAGTTTCAAGATATGGGGAAGCCAATCTTAGAGCTTTTATCTTGCTGCCCTGGGGCCGCTTGGCAGTCGCACGAGCGGGTAAAATAAAATTACTCATCTAAAAAACACTTAGTCATCCAACGAGCCTACATCTTCTAAAAGTAACTGATAATACGTTAAGACTCCCTGAACTGAGTAGCCACTTTACTTGCTCTGAGCAGATCTTTCAATCATGGCTTCGTCTTCGTGACAGACTTGTATCAGAAAAAGGGGCTACTTCTTGATGTGCGCAACTCCTAGTGATTTAGCAGTCTTCATCGTGGGCGTGGCTCATGCATTTGGTAGGCTAACAACCTAAGTGCCTAAGACAAGCTTCTAACAGATGCTAAAACTAACTCGAAGCGGTGTCAAAGCCAAGGTCACTTCTTCGTAATCACTGAGATTACCCAAAAGCTCCTTCCGCTTTTCTTCCGATATGGGCGCATCTCTCTCTGGAGGGATCGGGCTGCCGCTTGATGAGGTTTCTGTTACTGCTTCACGGTCCTTACGATAATTAGACGAGGAGAAACGCGCTGCGCGTCCGCTGTGGTTGGCAGTGGTGATGGTGATGGTGGTTGGTTATGGTGATGGCGGTGACGGTGGTCAAGCGTAGCGCGTCGCGTCACCTACTCATAATATGCTACTTACGAGCCAACACGACAAGCTGAAGAGCTGGGGAGGCTACACACCTCAAAGGGCTGGAGACCCGCGGCCCGAAGCCCAGGCAGAGGGCGCACAGGGTGAGCTGCCTTAACTTTTTTCGCCGACAAGAAAAGAGAGAAAGAGAGGGAAGCCACGCAACCCGCCCGAAAGCAAGCCGGCACTGCCTAGCGCAGTAGCGAACACCTGAGAAGGCGAACGGAGGCCCACTTCACGCAGCTGAGGGAGAAGAGATAAGAGAGCCCGCAATCCGCCTGCAGGGTAGGAAGAACTGCCGAATGCAGTAGCGACCACACGACAAGACAAAGGGAGCCCGACTTCGCAGACAAGTGGGGAGCCTTCGCAGACAAGTGGGGAGCCCTACACCCGAAGGCGCGCAAAACTGCTCCGGGGGGGTAGCTAGACAGAAACCTCCTCAACCCCACCACACACAGCACACCCAGAGCGCCGGCGGGGAGGATTGAGACTACTGGCAACCAGTAGCACGCTCGACAATGCTATCCTATGCGAACTAAAGCCCAGACTACAGCACCCCCAAACACTTAAGAGGCTACTACTTCAAACAAAGAACAAACCCCAGCCATAGCCTGGACCACTATACGCAGGGCGTACCTGCAGCACGAACGGGGACCCCGTTCGCGGCGCCTTCAGGCTCCCGCTGTTCTGTGTACGAGGGTGAGACCCAAGCGCCACCAAGAAGATCTCCCGGAAGCGGCCAAAAATACGGCCTAAGGATGCTCCACGTCGAAGAATGAAGAGACCAGCCGGCCCGCGCAAGACCCTGCAGCGAAGTGCGCGCCCTCTCCATGCCAAGGAGGCAGGCGGCCGCCAGGCTCAGCGGAACTGAAGGGAAGCACTCGGGGGGGGCAGCTGCTAAGGCTGGGGGGCTGTTTCGCGGAGTGTCGCCAATGGCTCCAACCTTCCACCGCCCGGGCGGTAGTCCGTAGCCAGCGGCCCGGCTCACTCCCAGGAGCAAGCACTGGGGGATACCCAAGGGGAGAGAAGCAATGGCGATGGTGCGTGCTGATGCGTGATGGTGATGGCGGTGGTGATGGCGATGGTGGTGGCCGTGGTGGTGATAGATGGCGACGGCGATGGCAGTGGTGACAATGATGGTGACAGGCAAGAAGTTGCCAGCTATTTTGTGGAGAAGGAGAGAGGGCCTTGATGTGTGCCTTGGGGGGGCACGGGCTCTATCCTAGCTAGAAATACACCCATAGACGAGGCTAACTCTAGTATGATAACAAAAATTAGCGATCGCCCTTCAATCCGCCCCCATTCTGATACACAGCCAAAGATGCTTCTGGGGATGGATCAGGAGAAGCCGTAAAATAAGCACTAGCGATTTATGCCTGTGCTCTATTAATATGAGTTCGCCAACATTAGCCTTCGACTGTCGCAGCCTCAACTTAGCCGCATCCAATAATACGCCATGAACAGTGGGCGACTTTGTACACTTAGCGCTACTTCCCATGTTCTTACTTTCAGACTTCAAATTTCTGCAAGCCATAACGGAGCGCGCAAAAATGGAAGCCCAATACGCTTGAACGGTAGAGACCTCGAGTTAGAAGTGGGGCGAGGAGGGTGGTGGGCAGGTGGTTATGATGGAGCAGGCTTTCGTGCTAGCGAAAGAAGACTCGACCTTTCCCCTCGAGTCCTCTCCCCCAACCGTCGTGCCCCTCGTTATTGCGCTTCTTCATTGGGCGGCTCTGTAAGTAACCACATTTGGAGTTGTCAGCCATTATAAAAAAAAACTCATTTTTATCCATGAAAATCTTCCAAAGCCGAAGGAAGACCAGGAGTGGTAAACGAATTGTAGGACTAGGCTTCCAGTAGATTGCCATACTTCACCAATCCGGATCCCGGTGGCGACTCGCCTTCGCCAAGTCCATGGCTACCAGTCAAAAGCGCCATGTGCTGCACCGCTATTAGAAGAAGATGAAGCACAAAGGGAATCGCTGCCCTCTAACAAGAGGAAGCAAGAGTATTGCTAAAGCCAATAAGTTTAAGTAGGCCTAGGCCATGTCTTGTGCCTATATTAGATCAAGAAGGCACTCTGCTAAGGTAATGCTTTGTAGATGTTCGTTGGGGGGGACTTATTGTTACCTCGCGGCGCTTCTTGTTCTTACTGTAAGAAAAAAGAGGAGCACAAGCAATAAAACGCCGAGCAGTCACTGCTGTAGCTTTTTTGAAAGGAAAACTCAGTTAGGAAACCAATCGGGGCACCCCGAAAGGCCACAGGCCTGCCAGGGTGTCTCTCTTCTGTCCATAATTTCCGGACCACCTCGCAGCCATCGATCAAGAGTTCGCTCGGGCCACCCTTCCCAATAGTCACATAGTTTGCGTATGTGAATGGGGCCACCTCCAGAGTGTTGAGTGGTAGATTCAATAGAAAGCAGTTTTACTACTGGTCGTCATCAACAGACATTATCAATGGCCATCAGGTGGGCTTTGTAGTTCTGCGAATGTTCTGGGGCTGGTTGGTTCTTTACAGCAAGTTAGTTTACTCTGGTCTAAGAAGTACTCAGACAGTTAGAGCTTCTGCTC